ACCTGCTGATTCGGACTTTAGTCTAAAACACTATATATGAAACAATTCAAAACAGCTTTATTTTATTTTATTTATTTATTTATTTTTTTCTATTTTCCCCAAGGAGCACCAGGTTGTAAATGTTTGTCTTTCTGTCACTGGAAATCTACAAATACCACCCTTCAGTTGATTGGATAACAAAGTTCACCCAAGCCCCCATAATTCGGGTCTGGAAATGAAGCAAAACAGGAAGTAACAAAAATTGCAGTTCCACCCTCATCCGCTGGGGGCTGGTGTCAGAAGCAAGCAAATCCTCATTGACTCCCATGTTAAAAATACCTAATTTACTGCAGAAATAAACATGTTTACAGCCAGGTACCAAAACATGTTTTAGGTTTAATAGATCTAATTTACACTCATGACAACTCTGGGGGGTGAATTTTGTGTCACTCTTCTGCTTAAGTGTATTAAAAGCCTAAAATTCTGTATAATTAATGAGCATCAGACCCACGTGACCGCAGAGCTAGCTCCGGTGAAAAGCCTGAGCCTCGGCCTCGCCTTAAAACTGTTCCACCATTTTTAGTCTCTCAACTTAGACCATTAGTTGTAGCGTTTGTGTGTTCTTTTTTGGATATTATTTGTGCAATTGTTGGACTAAATGACTGGCTGTGGTATTAATTGCACTAATAGAGCATCCAAGGAGTTTCCACTTCATTTTTTTCAGTAAGTAAAATTATATTTATGTATTTTTAGTTGTATTTCATCTCTGTAGTTAATCTCATCACCCCCAACCTTGTTTGCAACCCAAAGTGAGGTCTTGACATGATTTCAGCTGAAAATCATCCACCTCCAGTCACCTGCCAAGCTGTTGTCTTTTCTCCCTAAAAATATGCTTTTATTAAATTTAATGTGCATAAAATTGGGTCCAAAACGGAACAAGATGACCCAATGTTTGATCACAGCAACTAAATTACAAGAAAAAGAATCAAATCAGCTTCTAAATCTCATCTCTTCACCCCCTCAACATCGAATTAATAGTGTTTTAGCTTAACAAGCAGACTCCATTTGACTAAAGACATCACTTGTCAAACCTTGAGTGAGCGTGTTCATTAGCTCTCCAGAGACAGTGGTTAATGTTCTGTAAACTGTAATAAAAGTGCTATAAAACACCCCACCTGATCTCTTCCTTTCCTTCATTTTAACTTCTGGAAAAGTGTCCCCAGTTAATGGGGTTGTGTTGGTTAACAAGCCAGTGAAGTCCTCGTCAGCAGCATTATCACAGCCGCGCACAGACACTGTTTTATCAGGCCTTTCTGTGGCAGGGACTGCAGACAGCTCCACAATTAGCGACTGTAAGAGGGAGGCGAAGAGGAAAGCAGCAATATTACACGTTGCCAGCTGCATCTGAGCACCAAGAATACCAATGTAGTGGCTGTTGTTCACACAGAAGCGCATACATTTATACCTGTTGGCTCCACGTTGTGCCCTGCCTCTGTGGTGTGAAGTGTGTGTGTGCAGAGAGCGCAGCTCTTCTCATTATGAACAGTGGTGTTGGCTTTTGGAGCGGTAGGAGAGGGCAGCACGGCTTGGCCGGCAGTCACAGCAATTTACAGGTCTGTCAGAGAGAAAGAGGTCGACCAGAGGAGAGAATTAAAAAGCATTCACAGCTGTAAACTAGACCGCAGACGTGCTGAATGAGCTGCCGCTTGACGGATGACGTGTTGGAGCTGACCTTACTGCAGAGATTTTTATTATGCCAGACGGCAAAGATTTGCTTTATTATTCAACTCTTCCAAAGCTGAAAAGTCAGAGGTTGTTTGTTTGTGTGTGTTTGATTATTTTTATGTCTTACCAGATGTATTAATAGACTGAGAAGTGTCTGAAAGAATCAGGATTTATGCTTAGTGCCGTAATAATCTTGTAGAGATTGTTTTCTTTGGCGTGCTAAGAAAAGCTGTGTAGAGCACACGTTTGTGTACATTTTATGTAGATGATACCAATCTAATCCTGTTTGTCAACCTTGCTGCTTCAAGCAGAATATAAAAGAAAGAAAATAGTTTAGTTTTTTTATTTATTTTTTTTTTTTTTTACATTTCTACAGTATCATTTCCACCGAGCTCACACAGGTCACTGAGACAGGAAGTGTCAAAAGTCAGCCAGTTGGAGCAACCAAACAAACACCTCTAAGATGAATAGATTGTTCGTGACAGTACTGTTAAAATCACTGTTGTGTGAGATGGGCTGCAGGCTCACTGTGGCCTCCCCTCCCACCCCTTTTCTCTCAGAGGATAAAAAACGGGTTTTTTGGAAGGAGGTAGCTAGAAATGTCTTGTCAACGCTATGCTAATTTGTAACTTCTTGTCTACAAAGTAGCTTTCTTCTGCCCCCTGCATAGCTGCAGACCTCTGCTGGACTTTATCAAGTCTGTCCAAATTTGATTCCTTAAGAGTAGCTTCACTGTACTTTGTTGGATAATTACCATCTTAGCAACCCTCTGTTCCTGAAAAAATGCGACGACTTGTTTTAGTTTTTTGATGCTGTATGATATGCTGTATTTCTTTCCCCAAAAGGGGGCATCTCTTGCCTGTTTACCTTCTAACTAGGGGGTCATCTATTGGATTCATGTAAAGCCGGTGTACACTGAGAACATTTTTTGCACATTTTTCATCTCGTATGACAATTCCTTACCTTGGGCTAAGTTTTGTCGAATGTTATGTAGTATACCGGGGGTTTGGAGGAGTGATTAGCAACACATGATTCGCTCCCGAACAGCTATTGTGCGGTCGAATGAAAATCAAATCAACTACACAAACCCAAACCAAATTTAGGAAATTATACAAGACAAATATTGAATACATATTAAGTAAAACCATACAAACGTTTTCAGTGAACCCTGTTTGCCAACTGACTAACAGCCAAGCAGCACTTATAAACCTCTACATTAAAAGCCACCTACATTAAAAATAGTGTCAACAGAGTAAAATAAATAAAAACATCAGATCATGACGGTACAATTCCAGCAAGTCACGTGATGCAGTCAAACTTTTAATCTCCAAATGGAGGTAGATTGCTTCTCAACACCAGGCAAGCAGTTTCATAGTTGTGGGGCCATCACAGTAATTGCACGATCACCACGACATTTGTGCTTGGCTCTGGGGACCACCAACAGGTCACCATCAGCAGAGCGCAACTCTCATGAACTACCGTGTGTCCTCCTAAAACTACGGCAAGCCTGAAGGGCAACAGACAGCAATAACAGCACAAAAGTCTCCTCTCTTCCAGGATTCTGAGGTCCAACGTGTTGCTACCACACATACAATGCAAGCAGTCACATTGCATCCAAGCATTGGCCGTACAGTGTAGGAACATGACTTGGGAACATTGCCCTGCCACAAAAGCTGTTTTTATAGAACCATAGCGTTTTCAAAACGGGATTTGCCGTGGCACCCTGGGGAGGATTTTGGCATTTATAGTAGCAAAGCTGAAGCTAGAATATACTGCCATCAGACACCTCTCCAACAAAGACAGGATATAGGGAGGTCGCTGCCCCCCCCCCCCCCACACACACACACACACACACGCATGTGACGTACAGGGTAGCGCATTCAGCGTCAGACGGAAGACATGTCAGACTGATGAAATTTCTTTTTCAGGACCTTTAGCTTTGATGTGACCTGCTTTATGTCCCGCTTGACGCCCCGCTCAGCCAGTGTTTTCACCACTCTGTCGAACAGCTGGCTGTCTCTCACCGTCCCCGTAAAAAGGTGACTAATTTGTTCGTCCGCTCGCACGGCCAAAAGCTCCATGGTCTCCACATCCTTCCAGCTGGCTTTCCTTCCGGCCGGCACCCGGCGCGCAGTACACGTGACTAACACGACCACCCTCTTTTGCAGGGGGCCTCCCACAGTCGCTCCAAAGGGATTAGCGGGGCTGACACGTGTTTAGTCGTCAGAGGCGAGGGGCTGATGCGGCAATATTACTACCAAGCGAGGCAGAACGAATGCCGCAATATTCGCACAACGCCATGCCGGCATGGCGTGTTTATAGACATACCAGTACGGTAATATTACGCCGATATGCCAGCATTGTGTATCCTATAAAAGCACCTACAGTTTGAGATGGAGCTGATTACACAGCAAACATTGTTGTATCAGCACTAGTAGAGCAGAATTTAACACTCTGTGTATTTGGTTGCTATCTGAACTGCTGGTGAAGTTACTCTTTTACAAGAGCTGAAATTGCAGAGTTGAATTGACTCTAAATCGAGGAAAGATTTTGCTTTCCAAACTATTCTCAACTCTGCTTCTTCAAAACCAAGATTTTTCACCAACAGGGAGCACTGTTTTACCCACAATAGCGTATTATTAAATCCCATTAATGCATTGCAATTTGATTACCTTAATGTAACTGCTGATTTTGCAGTGTACCGAAAAAAGTGGTAGTCTGTTGCCAGTTTAATGAGAAGTTTTTACTTGGTGAAACAAAAAAATACTAAATTCTTCACATTAAAATGAAATACTAGTTTATGTGACTTCTAACTCGGGCAAATTACACTAAATTATTATTGACTTTACAAAAATCAAGATCAAGAGGCAGAACTGTTGAGTCTAAAATGTAATGCTGTTAATCAAATACACTTGCATGATTGATCATCAATAGGTGTGATTAACTTTGTAAACACTGAGATCTAACTGGTTCAATCAGGCATGCATCAGCAGTCATTTCAGAAAGGTAATTGCTGCTTTCTAGTTGTGTATGAACAGGAATTACTAAATGCAAAAACTGGGACAGCTTTGTTTTTCACTAAAATCTCTATTTTGGATTGAACTGAACATTTGATGTTTATCTGAGATTTTTTAAATTTGAATGATAATCAAATGATTTTCTTTAATTTTGTACTTTTGTACTTTAAGTAATTTTGAGAATTATTTTTGTCCTCTTTTGGAGTTCTCCCTGTAACCGACCAATGATTAATTGACTAAGCCTTAGTTTTTTCTTTGTTTGTGTTTGTGCTTTTACAGAAGGCATCTGTAACATGGCGATGGACTCCAACTCAATGACGATGCCTATGTCAGACCCCAACCCCTGGGCTACAGCCATGAATAACCTGGGGATGCCTCCCATTGGAATAACTGGACAGCCACTTATACCAGGTACCACATTTGATTCTAACGTTCTAGGTGCATACTCTTATTTCATAAGTTTTTGTAGTTAACGCATACAAGGCATCTCCTCACTGAGCTGATGATAGAATAAAATCATCAGCAAGTATATCTGACCTTTTCTGAAATTTGACTTACTAATCTGTTATTTTATGAAGTGATTGGGTCTTTTTTGGTATTGTTTTTATTTGTAGATATTAAAGAGTTAAGAAAAGAATTTAAAGCTGTGTTGCGTAGTGTGACTTTTTTAAATTTGAACAACTATATGGAGCCTAAGTCTCCTCCCTTTCTGGTCGGCTGATGGGTCCCCAGAAGAATGAAAAACGAATGCTAGTCAATGGGGCTAAAAACCCTATTTTCTAATCCGCTGTGCCTTAGGCCCTGGATCGCACTTATGTTGTACTTCAATTTAAATGAAAAGTAATGATGTGTGTTTTGACCACACCTGTCACATACTTTGAGAAAAATCAGTTTATAAAAATTCTTAATTACTATGACTACAAATCAGACATCAGCACGTCACATATATGACATCACCACAGAAGCTCCTCCTCCCCAGCGTTACTGCCATTGCCATATTTTTGGTGGTTCTGAGGGAAAGATTTGAACTAACAGCCATTTTTCCTGTTGGCTTTTCTCCGTGTCTGGTTCGATGACGTCACTTTGGTAATACACATTTGTAGTTGTGCACATATTTTCACACAAAACCTAAAGTAAAGTTTCCCTCGTTTGAAGATAAGTGCTTTCTGGGCATCAAAATGCTTTTTGAAAATTCACAGACATCATATGCGAAATCCATGACACATAGCAAACAGTATTGGAAAATAGCATTTTTAACCCCATGGACTTGCATTAATAGTTTTTGTTCTTCCAGGGACCCATGGTCCGGAAGTAGATGGGTGTGACTTAGGCTCCCTTTAGCTCCCTTCCCTGCTTCCCCTCTGGAAGCAGCTAAAAGCCATGTCTCCTACCGCGTACGCACACAAAAATCAGAGTCAACATCGACAACAAAACCAATAACCTGATGTAGCACAAGGTGTAACACCAAGATAACTACATTTTCTGTCCCCACTTTCCTCTTCTGCAGTCTGCTTGAAGTTTACAGACCAACAATAATTCAGTGAAGGTCAAATTTGCATTCAAGCTAACACCAGCCTATGTAAATGTAACGTACAACAAATTTCTTCACTATATTATTTATTTTATTTTATTAAAACTCTGGTTACAATTGTGTTAAATACAATAAATGACTTAGTCATTACCTGGGAAAAAGAAACTTCCATCAGTTTTGAGCTCTTGGATGTAACGTCTCACGGTGACTTTTACTGAAGTACCTTAAAACTGTTTCAATTTTCTTTTCAGAAGTAGAATGCAGCTGAGGAATCCCTAACTTTGGTGGTCATTTAGGTTCCTCCATTGCAAATCACTGGCTTCTTCAAACATCACCCCAAAGTTCACGCTGAGGACTAGGGCACATTCTCATAGCACAGGGTCAGATAGGCGAATGGAAGCATTTTTAAATTACTTTCTTAATTTGTAAACTACGTAACCCAGCTTTGAGGCAAATTCAAATATAACGGTCAGGGTTTGATGGCTTTATCTGAATGGGCACCGGTTTTTAAAATATTAGGTGAGAAGTGGTAGGTTTGAGTTGTGTTTGCATTATTCACTGAAACACTGCCATAAAGGATGAGAATTTGTATTGACGTGTTTATTTAGTCACTTAAAATATGCATCCTGGAATAATCGAGACGAGCTGAGTCATGAAGATGCAATTTGCAAGCTGGTAGTTGGTTAAATGTTGGCCGCCAAACTGCCTGTCTGTAAATGACTGAGCTAAGGTCAAAATTAATAAAGAAACATAATTTATTTTAACTTATAAACAATTGAAACAGCTGATAAAGACCTCAGAATCATTTCATTTGCATTCTCTTGTGCCAGCTGAGTACTGAACCGTATGCTCTGTAAATCAATTTTAACTTTAAAACTAACATCAACTAAAATATATTCGTTATTACACTGTCCTCTTGCTTGGCTAGGTCTCTGTAGTTGCTATAGTCTTATCACACCAGAATGGTACCCTGCCTCTCTGATTGCTTGGCTTTCTATAACATTAGGTTCAGCGGCACCCTCCCACTCTCCATCTCTGAAGAGTTTTTCTGCTACGTCTTTTCTCTCCTCAGTAGAAGCCTTTCCCTAAAGCTTTTATAAATCACTTCCCACTTCTTAGCTGAAATGCACTTTCATATTGGAAATATGCCAGGCGTGCGTGTGTGTGTGTGTGTGTGTGTGTGTGTGTGTGTGTGTGTGTGTGTGTGTGTGTGTGTGTGTGTGTGTGTGTGAGTGTGTGTGTGTGTGTGCACAGACGGAGATGAACAGACTTCCAAATGCACTCCTCAGAAACTATTAAGGAAAACATGCTTGCACACTAACACACACCGACACAATCGTGACATGCTTCCCCAACACGGTAAATTAACCCCCCACCCCCCCTTAAAGATGAAGGCAAGCGTTTCATGAAGACAAGCTGAAGAATGTAACCTACAGCAATGTCTGCGAGTGGTGTTTCAGTCCTAACTTTGGCTTTAATTCTCTTACCAAGTTGTAAACTACTTTTCTCTGAATCAATTTCTATTCACACAGTCAACCCAAGAATGCAGTCATGTAAAAATATATTTACTCTGCTTGTGTGTTTGAAGCATTACTGAGAAAGTAAACACAGGAAGTTGGCCCCAAAATAGTGACTGTCCTCTCAGGCATCAAGAGAGCAATGATGTTTCTTACTCATCCAGGTCAAACACTGATTGACTTTCCAACCAACAGCGACAATATTCAGATTTTGCATCCAGCAAAGCAAAACCTTCTTCCTTGGGAGTCAGAGAAGTCAAAACTGGCAGAAAGCAGCATGTATTGTGTTAGTGGAGACCACCTTTATTAAAGCAAAACTACGCAGTTTTGGCTTGTTTGGAGCACCCCTTATAGACGGTTATTAAGTCACTGTTGTAAAACCAAAAGTGAAACTCTTCTCCTCGCTGTGCGTAATCTCCTTAAATCTAACTGCTGACATTTCTCCTCTGCCTTTATTAGTGTCTACAGGAGTGATTCATCAGTAATTAAACAAATCAGCTGTGTTCACCATCTAAAACATTGAGGAAATGTGCTGAAAGCAGAGTCCAGTGCCAGCATATCAGCTTCATTTCACTAAGTCCATCAGGGACCAGACTGGCAACTCTGAAGTTGCAAGTGTGGTATTCTGGCCACAGGAGGCTGTAGGGGTCTTGAGTGACATTTCATTAACCCTGTAAAAGGTCACTTCAGCACATACTGGTTCAAGAAAATAATTTAAAATTATGAAAACTTTGCAAGTATGTCTTAATGAACGTCATTCTGATTGTTTGGATGTAATAAATCAGACTAAACACACCAGACCAAACAGCACGGAGTAAAAAAATGCTCCAAGATGAATACATTGTTCCTGGGACTGGTATTACAAATGAGAGTAGTTTGATAGAGGCTGGAGGAGCGCTACGAAGATCCTGGCTTTGAACTTCATTCACAGCTGTGTCAGACCTTTTATGAGAGCCGTTTAACTTCATTGCTAAAAAAAAGCTTCATTCTAACTGGAACACTAATGAAGGCTATGCTAGTCATCCAACAGCTACAATATGAGGGGGATAAAACTAGCGTTCATAAATGGACTGAAGCAATTAGGACGTAATAAGCTGCACCTGTGTTTGATGAGTTTAATTGTCTTCTGCGAGGGTTAATGAAACCGCTCTTATACTAAATCAAGTATTCAGACAGATCTTTACAAACATCCAGGTGAATTCACCATTTGGCTCTGGTTTGTGTACAGCAAACATTTGAAAAGACTTCAGTGTCGGTGTGTGTTTATTGAAGACACAAATGTTCTGCACATTCACACACACGTTTTCACTTATTGTGACTAATGAGACTTCTTTTCAGGTCTCACTTACTTTACACCTGGTAAATTATAGGGATGGGACTGAAAATGACTGATTTTCATCTGATTTAAAGAACCTAAGGGAAGCATTTTTCTAGCATTTGGAAGCGTATAATATGTTCTACTCAGCACTGATAGTTTCATCACCTTATAGCGATTTATGGTCAGATCTGTAGCTTTTCACATTTTTGCGGTGATGCTCATTTAAACCAAGATCCATGTTCTGTTGAGCAGTTCAGTGCTGAAGTGTGTGCATATATGTGGACGATTATAAAAAAAGTGAGTCTCACAGCTTCTATCACAACTTAGATGTGGGGATAAGTGCTGTTCACAAGTGCGGGGCTGATTTTTACAGTGTTTTCTTACACAACACAAACGAGGGCTGGCTGAGTGAAATTAGCTGCTTGTTTTCTTGATCTGACCAAATAATGTAACAGATAACACATTTCACTCATGAACCTGCAGCAGAGGGAGAGAGAGATGCAGGCCAAGCCCCATTTGGGTTTAAAGTCTTGAAGACTGCAAAATACTTGAGCTTTATGTTTAAAAAGTGTAAAATTCAAAATGAAACAGCAAGTCAGATTCCAGAGAGGTGGTTCGTGGAAATGGTGAATTAAAGATTGTTTTTTAAATGCCGGTGAACAGAAAAGCCGTCATTCTCTTAATAATTACTTGGAAAAACTGTGAAGGGTTTTTTTTTTTCAGCTTTTTCTTCATTTTTTATGTTTTGTTTTTTTTGCAGTTTTATCTTTATTCTCTTTACATCTGCCTCTCTTGTTCTACGAACTTAAATGGGAAGATTTTTTCCCCCAACTGCTCCTTTCAGAGCTGAGCACACTAGCACATCTCAGACGATCCTGATTTAAAAGCTGATAGCCAATTTTCATACTAATGAACCAGTAGTGCGAGTTTTTATCACTTAGATGAACAGTGAAACAACCCAAAATGTGGTCTCTGCTGTTTCTGCTGCTTTATTTACTCAAGCGTGACACATAATCTCAGTTTATAGCTTTCTGTTTATCCAATG